ATTTGTTTTTATAAATAACAGGAAAAAATACTGAAGTTTGAACAAAACCGTATATTGTACTTTAAACTAGGAACAACAACTAAAGACAGAGGAAACGTTTATAGTGAGACCCTTGCAAAACAATGCAAGGGTGATAAGACCATTTGTTCCGGAAAATGGAGGGCTGCTCAGCTGTTAGACACTGTTGCAAGTGAGACTGGTGTAGCTAAAACCAAATCACTATGCATGTTATCTAAAACGTCGATAATCATGCAATAATCACATCGCACACACAAAAAAGAGATATTTCCCAATGGCATCATAGGGCAGTTATAAATTAACCTGTATATCTCGAAAACAGTGTACGTGTGTCTGTCTCAGAATTTATTTTTTTAATTTACATTTATCATGGAGTTTATATTTAACGTATGACGACCGTTTGCGCAATGAAAATTACTTTGCAGCGTCGTCGCAACGGACTTGTAAACCGCAAGAGACGCTGTCCGATACTCCTGCATAGACGCGGCTGGTTCTGACGTTGACTGTGTTTAAATAATGTTTGTGAAGTTACATGATTAAGTTACACAGGGTTTGACGTCAGGATGGTCAAATCCTCACTTCGTAAAATTTCTTAATTTTTATATAATTGCAATAAAATTACCATTCTAATTTTGACAACTTTTCTGGCATATAAATAATAAAGTCATCGGACAAAACACATAAAAATGAAATGTTTTGTTGTTCTCGGACTATGCCATTACTGGTTACTGAAAATAACGCAAGATAGTGATTTTACTTAGAGAGCTTAAAATAGAACCACGGAATTAGATTTGCTATCTAAGTCCGTGATAGAACACATGCATTAGCCAATTTCAATTCAGGCAATTTAAGTCCTCTCCCTACAGCAACCTATATATATCCTATGGCTTCATCATATGTCTCTGATCCGGGGGTAAACATTTTATTAAACCACAAACTATACAAAAAAAATCGTCGTCAGAAGCTACATTAACGATATACTGCATGGTACTGTATAGTAGATCATGACCATTTCTGGGTTTGGATCGCATGATTTTATATCCTTATCTGTGTGTCGTGTGGACGTACCTGTGAAATCGTTCACGATTGGTCAAACAGGTACCGCCCACGGATTAACAACCAATGGAAATGTCCGAACAGTATTGTTTGGCCTTAACCCCCATTTGGTGTCATAATCACCAACACAGACCAAATCCTCCGAAACGGACTGAAATGAGCAACTTGAATCAGGAACTAACTTGGCAGAATCGGAAAATCGAGATACGCAATGCATATAATGATCAAATTACAATATATAGTTTAACGTATTGTATTGCAATATAATTACAAAAAAAAGGATTGGACATAAGTTATTGTAACTTATAATGATCGCCCTTTCAATAATGCTAAATGCAAAATATAAATACATTAATTACAATGTATATTTGTAGTGCTTGCGAAAAATGTAAACTTATTAAATAATAAAAGAATAAACCAAGTCTGATCAGGTTGAAATATGGTTTCCAATGATTCAAGATCATACATGTAGCTAGAGGAAAATTCGAGTTCTTTTATCCTGAGGTTGTGTATTCTCACTTTTTTCAGGCATTTAACTTTAAGAAAAATATCGCTCATTTGTGCTTAACAAGTGCTTAACAATTACAGCCTTCGTCATACATGTATAGATGTTCCCTCGTCACATCATTTCTTTTCTATTAAATGACTTTTAATTTTAACTTTGAAAGCAAAATAAGATAACAAATGAATGGTTATAATTAGGGACTATATATTTAGCACAGATATAGGAATATTTCACCGTTATTTTAACCTTTTATTTCTATTTATTATTATTTTTCTTCAAAACATAAGGTGACATTTTTCAGTTTTTAGAAGATGTAACATTTTAAGATTTTGACCAGATATATTGAAGCAAACGTTATGTAAGAAAGTGTGTAGTATGAACCACAGGTAAATTTCATGAGAATATTTAGGTGAAAAATTGCAGTCTTTGTATGATACAGTATATGGTTGACTTGCCATATATTGTTTCATAAAACAACACCTGTCTATTGTTGTTAAATATGTTGGCACTCAGAGAACACCCCGTAGTCTCTAGGTGGAAGGAAAATAATCATTTCCCGTGCATTTTGGAATGAAATAGAAATAGCTCAACCCTTCTATAAATATTCAGATATGTCTGACCCTCGGCAAAGCCTCTTGACCCCAGGGTCGGACTAAAAATACCTTTCCCCGTGTACCGAGGGGGTTAGACAGAAAAACCGAAGGATAACATTTCTAAATGTCTAGCCCGAAGCTATGTCGAGGGGCCAGACTTTCAAAAATCTTATCTCGAAGGTTGTGATTTTTCTGTCGTACTTCTAAATGGGAATGATTATTTTTCTCCCACATCAAAGTCAAGTGGTGATTTCATAGTTTTCCAGCAAATCAGATTTATCTTTCGTCGTCTACGGGACGCCTGTTTGATTCATTGTTGGTGTGACGTCATACAATATTGTGATGGCAGGAAATACTTCGATATTCTCTATCTCTTTTCTATACCTCATACTTCTAGAAATGTATAAGCTGTAGTATATGGCAGAAATAACTTTCCCTTACCTGTTTTCATGAGTTTACCGTATGCTCGAGCGAACACCTAGCTCGGGAAATATATATAGATTTACAAAAATATCAGCCAACATGATTATAGGGGGTGTTCGCTAGAACATGATATTAACATCATGACTATTAAAAACAGTGGCTATATGACTGAAAAAAAAGTTTGATATATCAAACATCAAATAGCGTGTGATTTCGGAAGAGACTACATTTTGCGTGTATATACACGTACAATGTAGGATGTTCCAAAAAGAAAAGAAAAATCTTCCCACAGGTATTAAGCATTTTTGGATATCAACTAGAAATGTGGTTTTTGATTTTTAAGAAAGATCAATTTTTACCGTCATTGAGTATTTTTTTGACCGAAAATTGATCGAAACCTCTATAACGTTTAAATTTGCTTTGGACACCAGTCTACGTCTAAATGTAGGCTAGCTGTAACAAATGATCGAGTCCCCGCGTTTCCATTTAGTCATCAAATTATAAAATGTATAGCAAGTAACAAACGTACATTGTATATATATGTACATTGTATATATATATGGACATTGTATATATATGTACATTACATATATATATGTACATTGTATATATATGTACATTGTATATTTATATGTACATTGTATATATATGTACATTGTATATATATGTACATTATATATATATATGTACATTGTATATATAGGTACATTGTATATATAGGGGACTATTGGTTTTATATAATAGCTATATTTTCAATTATAGTATATATACAGTTCTATTTTCTTGTAATATGATGTATATGTACATGTAACTGTTCTGTTTCACTGTGTCTTGATAGGAGCGGATCGATATATATATATGTACATTGTATATATGTAAGCCATTTGCAATAGTTGACGGGCAATAGGATTACACCTTTGTTAAGAAAAGGTGATAGACACTTTGTGTCTTATTACCGACCAATTAGTTTGTTGTCTTCTATGGGTAAACCCATTCTCGATATCCAGGGGTTACGTATACGCTCACTTTCGCTCTCTGCACCCTGGAATATGTCATGGCAAAATTGAAGGCACGAAGATAGCTGTTTGATTGGTCTCATGTAAAATAAACTGACCAATCGCTAGACCGATACCTGTCCTTTGAAGATTACAAAGGAGAGACGCCCAATTTTAAAGCCTGTCCATTTTTACCGTTACGTGACCGCCTGATTCTTTTGATGTACATCAAAGGATCGAACTAGTCATCTTGACTCATCAACAAGGTGGCGCACGCCGAGCCTTCAATTTTGCCATGACATATTCCAGGGGTGTAGAGAGCGAAAGTGAGCGTACACTTATACCACCTGGATATCGCGGATGTACCGTAATATGTGTTGTTCATTAAAAGAAAAAAACATACCTGTCAAATATTTTTTATATATCGAAGGCTTTTGGCCGCGTTTGGCATCAGGGTCTATTACATGTTTACAAATTGCATGCTTATCGTATTACAAGTGGCTTACTAAACTTGCTAAAAAAAACACATTGCAGATGGACAGCAACAGGTTCTAGTTAAAATATGTGTACAAGTGTACAAAAGCTTCACAAATGCCGGTGTTCCACAGGGAAGTGTATTAGTTGCACTGTTTTTTTTATATATAATAATGGTAGGCCTATATATTAAACTGTTGATAATTTGAATAGTAATTCACGCTTAATTATTTGCTGATGATACTTCTCCTTCGTGTATTTTCCGTCTTCTTGTGCTGATATTGAAAGGTGTGTCAAAGGAGATTTGGAAAAACGTGTTAAAAATGGTCAAAGGAATATGGCTTCCTTCCAACACACAGAAAAATTATATGTTGTTCATGTCTTTAATTCAAGAAATATATACTACCGCTAAAACTTTCTTTTAGAAATGGAACTATTAATTATGTTAAGATAATAAAAGTACATGTATTATAAAGTCGGAAACCTTTAGGCGTGTTATTAGTGCAGATGGTGAGATGCGACATAATATATATATGGTATGTCTAATGAAACTTGAACTACTGGTCTGTCCTCTTCTTCTAATAAATAATAAAATATATCAAAAAACCATGTGGCCGTTATATATCATATCAACTGCTCTCTTTCTTATTCTTCTAAATTTCTCTTCCTTCCTTCCTTCCTTAATTCCTTCTTTTCCTTTCCTCAGTCTTCGTTCATACATTGTAGACATTTTTTATGGTATATTTGCTTTTGTCGTTATGTAATTTTTATAACGAAATGTATTGATTTCTAAGTTGAGATTTCTTGACAAATGACAAATGACAAATCAAATATATTTACTGTGTCACATATGTTAAAATCAAATTCGGTCAGACTCGTTCCCTTTCGGTTCGATTCGTCCGCTTTAGTCATTAGTGATACTAGTTAACAGAGGTTGGCTTAATGTTTACCACAGGGGAATGGTGCAAAGCGCATATAGGTTATAGGCCTACCGATCCCTGTGATGTTTACACTCGGAGATCAACTACGTCGGTCTCATGTCACGGCTAAAAAATGAGTGATGCCATCAGGTAAGAATCGATGTAAATTTATATTTTAACTAAGACTGCTAGTATTTAATAAGTATGCAGTAAACATACTGTTTTACATCCGTCCTACACAAGATTCAGCCAGGTTAAAACCTGATATGTCAGATCGGAGGTCGTTTACCTGTTGACCTGCTTATTATCCACGGGTCGTGTAGGCTATATGTTTTAGTCCCCTATCTCCCTTGCTCCATATACCTAGGCCTGCTTGCCTCGCACCACCAAGCTCAGCATGAAGTAGATCTAAATGCTTAATGCATATGGGCTAGCAGCGATAGCTATGTAATAAATATGAATGTACATAGATTTATTCTGACAAGATTAGGGTTTTATTTGTAGAATCCTTTGACAGTCATCTATGAAATTAAAAACAATTTAATAAAACCATATTTCAAAAGTTGCGACGTTTATAGTTTTCAGTTTTTTCTTTAAAACTGTATTACGCAACCACACAAACGTGTAATCATGTAATTTTATTAACTTATTATTTTTATTTTCTACAGTAATTGTATATTGCTTGCAGATAGTTATTTGGCTTTGATGATATATGTGTTATGGCAGGTAATCTTTTCAGTTTATATATCATATATAATTTAACTAGAGAAAGAAAAATGCAACTGCCAGACCGGGGTTTGAACCCGGGACCCTCCAAACTCTAGATGGAAAGCCCTACCAATAAAGCTACCAGCTGGTTGCTGATGAATGACACAGCCCAGTTCAGCTATATATACCTCCCTCCTTTTTCAAAGTCTCCGTCCCTGATGATGACAACACTTTAAATTACAACTCAAGTTCGGATATTGCCCTTGCTATAAGCATGCATTCACCCAGTGCTTGAAACAAGAGTTGACAAGCTTGCCAATTTTGTAACAGGAGAAAAAGAAATGCAATGGCCATTCAATTAGGTTTGAACCGTAGTCCTATATGTACAATTGGGTGGATTGTTCGAGTGGTTAACACTCCAGCTTTCCTTGCAGGCAGCCAGGGTTTGATCCCTAAAGTCGTTGTACGCAATGATAATTGATATTCAGAGAAAGTGGAAGGTGGAGCATAAACTGGTCTGGTGTGGATGTTGCGGTATCTGTGCTATAGCATTCAAGTGAGGTGGCACTATAAATAATGCTGTTGGAAGCACAGTCCCACTACAAACAGAACACATTACATCTCCAACACACACGCAGGCATGTACATGTATACACACATAGGGAGATATTAGCCAGGTGGCATAGGACTATTAGTTATGAGCGCCTGATAAGGCAGCTACTGCAAATTCCTTAAAACTGAAAAAATTGATTAATGTATATGCTAATTGTATTAATTGTATATCTGTACTTTAAAGCACTTTAGAGTGGCTTATAATTATGTTAGCTAGATAGGGCTCTATATCAAATGTTGTATATTGTTCTTGAACTCTGCCATATATACAAAGATTGTTTGTTTGTTTGAGTGGTTGTACGTGAGATCCATGCGATTTCTCTGAAGACATAAGTCCAAGTCTGGTACCTCTATCTTATACTTCTAACCAGATTTGTCCCCTTTACACGTATTGGGAGGCAATATTGGACAGGTGTATCCGCACTTTTACCGGTGTGAGATTTCCTTGTCTCACCCTAGGGTTGAGACGGGGGGATTCCCCTATTCATAACAATGACATGACGTCACTTCACCAATACAAGTCGTCACATTAACCCTGAATTTAGCATGTAACGTTACATTGTGGTTATGATACACAATGGGAGAACAGGGTAAGAGAAAAAAAAAGAATCATTCACCCCCTTGTGGGTGAGAAAGGGGAATCTCAACCCTCGGGGAAAGATTCTTAAGTTGCCAAACACTCGGCATAGCCTATCTCACCCCCAAGGGGTACTCCAACAATGTTAGAGGTTTTACACGGCGAAAAACTTTTGACAGGCGCCGCGTAACGTCGCAGTCGGCAAAATCATATCCGATTGAAAAAAGGCCGACCAGCGGCCTCTCATGTTATGGGAGTACCCCAAGGGGGTGAAAGATTCTATTACCGGTAGTCCATCTTCGAGTTATTTTGAGTGGTTTAAAAGTAAGTCCACTTCATTACTGAGTAGTTCAGTTATCCACCTGGCACCCATCTTAGAGGACAAAACCAACTTTTTATAGCAATTAGCATATATACAGCAACTAATGCTATGTTGCATTTTATGACACTTACCTAACAAAATATGTGAAATCAGTCATACCTTGCCTAATTACACTCTAATAATAACTGGAGCCCCAGGCAATTGTATATTGGTTGAGTAAACAAGATACGCACTTTAAAAGCTAATGAGTGTCAATGATAGGGGTACCTCAGTGGTTGTACTTCAGGAATAGTTAAAGCAGTTGATGGTGTGAATGAACTTTTCAAACTTAAAAGGATAATAAATGAATTGATCAAACAACATTTCAGCACAACATGGAGGTTACAATATGCAGGGAAAGTTTCACATGCCTTTTTCCCTCTCTGGGAGTTCGTTTACTGGAACAAATCCCTCTGAAGAGAGTGCACAGGTTGACATGTACATGTATGTACATCTTATGTCCGATGATTAATCATTCCACAGTTAATCAAAGCATTGAGATATACCACACCAAAGAATTTCTAAAGGATTCCAATATTTTTTTTCAAGAATTCCATTTAAATTTACTACCTGTAATTGCAAAAGGACTCGCTTCATTTGAAGAGTAACGTCAACCCCTTCAGACCCATGGAACCATCAGACTACAAAAATGTATCTAAATTGCCAATTACATGTACATCCAAACTGGTAGGTTTTTGTAAAAACATTTTCATTAGAATATTGTAGGCATTGATGCAAAAATCATTTTGACAATAGTGTCAAGATCATGAGGTCACAGGTCAAGGTCATAGACACATAGAACTACATGTATTTAAATTGTCGATAACCTCCAAAACAAGGGACCTATTTCTCCAAAATGATTGCCCATGTCAGCTTCAGACATCCCTTTATCTGTTGTCATCTCTATACTTGTACATTTAAACAATTTACGTTTTTCTTCTTCTTCTTTAGAACCACTGAACCAATTTCTTCTTCTTCAGAACCACTTAACCAATTGACTTAAAACTTGGTACACATGTTTATTATCATGTGGGCTTACTACATGTTGTTATATTTTGTGTTTATCAAAGATTCTAAGATTAAATATCTGGCCTCTGATTGGCTGAGACATTTTCAAATTCTTCTCAAGAATTGCTGCAGTGCAGCGATTGATTCATTATTGGACAAATTTTAAGTATGAGGTCCCGCCAAGTGTTGTTACTTCTGCTTAGTCCAGGCATAAAACATGTGTTTCCTATAATATGTTGGAAAAAGTTAGGGTAGGTAAAATAGCTAGGTAACAAATTTAATTTTTAACAAATAATTTTATTTGGTTAATATAGGAGAGTGATCTTGACTAAAATTAACAGTGCTTCTTTGAAAATTTAGGGTAGACACAAACAATTAGTGTAGGTAGGGTTACTGGAAACACCAAATGTTTTTTGGTTGGCCTTAAGAACAGCAGCACCAATTGACTCCAATCTTGGTACAATTAGGTTTGTACCAATCCAAAATTTCAAGATGGCCAGCTTGGCCTCTGTTTGGCAGAATCTTTTTTGACTTCTTCTCAGGAATGGCAGCACCAATTGACTCCAAATTTGGTACAAATGTTCTTAATAAGGTTCCCAACAAGCGTTGTGACTTGTTGGGAACCTCGAATCCCAATCACAAAATTCAAGAGGATCACAGTGGCTTCTGATTGGCTGTGATATTTTCAATTTGAATTCATGTGAGCATTAGGGCCCCTTGGGCCTCTTGAACTAAGGAAATATAGAGAAGGAAATCTGGCTTTTGTAGTACCGCATTGATATTGATTCAGATTGAATTCAGTTTGGTCCAGAAAGTACAGGAATTATTATTTTTCGGCCTGATTTTAATGTATGATACAAATTCTATCGAGTGTGGCCAAAATGTACAGTGTATATATATATATATCTGTTTGTAGTCCAGTCTGTGGCAGGGACAAGAAGAAATCCAAACGCAGTGAGGACAAGGACAATACGAAGAAGTAAGTACAATTTGGTAAAGGATTCACATAGAATGGGAATGGCTGTTATAAATTTATAAAGCTGCTTTTTTGACATTGCTCTAGCAACTTTACCCTTTAGCTCAGATTTTTATTCACAGATGTTTACGTTGTAAATAAAAGGAATTTCAATTATATACATATAAAATATATATAATAATATACAACATTAATATTTATATCACTCTAAGGGCTTTACAGACACATTCATAAATATCAGGATAAAAGCTGCTAGTGTTGGAAGTATTAGTAACAAGATACTGTGATATGTATGTAAATATTTAAACTGTACGTAAGGGAAGTGGTATACATTTATTGCCCTTGTTGAAGGGAAACAGGACTCTTTGTTTCCCCGATATTACTGAAATTATGTTTCATGAGGGCAAAGCCCCTTCATAATATAAGTGATATATGTATATGATGACCACGTTTGTGAAAATGTCTCCAGTTTCTATCAGATTTTTGTTTAACTGTATACATATAGTTAATAATAGTTTTTAATTAAAGTGTGTTCCTATATAATGCTGTAGACAGTTACGAAAAGTTGGAGAGAAACAGAGGCGAGACAAACTGAAAAGCTATTTGTCTGTGCTTGCTCAAGAAATACCCTGGATCTCGGAGGGCAACCAAAGAGTCGACCGCTCACAGATACTCAAACTCACTGTAAACTATCTTAAGTTCCATCAAGGTGAGTGTAGAGTACTAAATCTTGTCAGGTCATTATAGAGATGATATCACAATTTCCAGGTGTTACGATTTGGTGAGGTTAGCAAATTACAGTCAAACTTCCATAAGTTGAATTTCAAAGATTCAAACTTCTTGATGTGTCGAAGATACGACAAAGTCCAGAATTGTTCCCTTACACAAAGCACTACTACCTTGTAATATTCTTTTCATGTAGCGAACTTTATGAGTGGAATTTCTCGCTGTTTCTATGTAAAATCAAGGCCCATTCCTTATAAAAACATTGAAAATTATAACTAATGAATTGAAGTTAAATGTTCACCTATTCCAAAACATTAAAGTGTCCCGTGATCATTTTAACAGTACAAGCTTTGAAAATTTATTTGACAAAGAAATGTTGAATTTGATAAAAAGCCCTAGCTTGTGTTTCGTCACATTTTTAAAGAATCATCTTCTGTCTTATTTACATGATCTCGATGTAACATTTCTTTTTGAGTCGAAGTGCCGATGTTTTCGAAATTTTGCCAGATGGTCAAGCAAAGTTTGAAACATCGAAGTATGACTGTAGATACCTTTGGGCCTCTTGTTTATTATTAATGTCAAGTAATCAATTCATGTTACAGGTGTCAAAGAAAAGAGGATCGGTTCCCAGAAATGGAAACCTAATTTTCTGTCATCTGACACTCTACGGCAGTGTCTCAATGAGGTAGCTATATATCATGATGTCATACATGTAGTTATAAAGACATTTACCAGGGGAGGAATAAGCTGCTGGGCCGCTGGTTCGATTCGTGGCCAGTGGTTTTCCGGGTGGACCAGTAGGTATTTCAACAAGCTGTTCCGATGGGCCAGTAAATATTTTGTTAATTTATCTAAAATTTCATCAGATTTGAAAAGTTTTATTTCAAACCAAGAATGCACCACAGAGTTAGATTTCAAAATTTTCCAGGTGACATGTACCCGGTACCCCTTGGTGCTCGCTCAGGCCACCTGCGCTCGTTTTCTGAACCAGTGCACTTTAAACAGGACCAGTGAATTTTTACCTCAACTGGACCTTTGGGCTAGCAACCCATTTTTTTTAATTCCACCCCCCTCTGTAATTGTTAAAAACTTTCTGAGAATATTTTATCTCCTCGCTACATTGTACAAGTGTGTCAAATACTGTCAGGGTGCTGCAGTTGAAAAGGCAAGTGTAAGGTAACTGTTACCATTTTTAGGAAATGATCGCCATTACTATTGTAGCTTTATCTTGTAAAAGACATCCATGAGACTTATATATATGTACATATATTAGGCATGACAGTTATATGAAAAAATAAACATTAAAGGTGTTACATCTAGGTCATTACTTCAGGCAGAGCCTCGAGTAAAACAAGCAAAAAACATCACCCCTCGGGTTGCAAGGAGATTTCTCTGTCACACCCTCAAGGTGAGCCTCTGGTTAAAAACCCCAAAAACATCACCCCTTGGGGTGGAGATTTCTCTGTCACACCCTCAAGGTGAGTCTCTGGTTAAACAACCAAAAAACATCACCCCTCAGGTTTGGAGATTTCTCTGTCACACCCTCTAGGTGAGCCTCTGGTTAAAAACCCCAAAAACATCACCCCTCGGGTTGGAGATTTCTCTGTCACACCCTCAAGGTGAGTCTCTGGTTAAACAACCAAAAAACATCACCCCTCGGGTTGGAGATTTCTCTGTCATACCCTCAAGGTGAGCCTCTGGTTAAAAACCCCAAAAACATCACCCCTCGGGTTGGAGATTTCTCTGTCACACCCTCAAGTTGAACCCCAGGTTAAACAACCGAAAAACATCACCCCTCTGGTTGGGGATTTCTCTGTCACACCCTCAAGGTGAGCCTCTGGTTAAACAACCAAAATCTGTCACACCCTCAAGGTGAGCCTCTGGTTAAATAACCAAAAAACATCACCGCTCGGGTTGGAGATTTCTCTGTCACACCCTCAAGGTGAGCTTCTGGTTAAACAACCAAAAAACATCACCCCTCGGGTTGCAAGGAGATTTCTCTGACACACCCTCAAGGTGAGCCTTTGGTTAAACAACCAAAATCTGTCACACCCTCAAGGTGAGCCTCTGGTTAAACAACCAAAAAACATCACCCCTCGGGTTGGAGATTCCTCTGTCACACCCTAAAGGTGAGCCTCTGGTTAAACAACCAAAAAACATCACCCCTCGGGATGGAGATTTCTCTGCCTCACCAACAAGGCAGCGGCAGATCCTATATCCAGGGTGTCTTTGGATTCAGGGCAACCCCTTCCCCTTTCATTGAGAACAAGTTGTATTTCTACCGATTCTACAGATATACCCCAATCAGGGTTTAAATTGCTTCATGATCGATGGATCTTCAACCCTTAAACAAAATCCTGGATACATGTTTAAGTTTCAAGTATTTGACATGGGTTATTTTTGCACTTTTTCTGGTCAAGTTCTTACTTTGAAAATCAATACCATTTTTTTTCAGATATACATCTTTTTATCAAAATGTGTAGCTCAGAAGTTTTTGGTCTGTTAATGAATAAATGTGATAAAAAATTACATGTAGATTATCAGTAGTCAGACTAAAAAGTTTGATTATATATGCGTGCATCATTGTTTGTGAATGATCAGGGTGACTACATATATTGACGTTGTATGTGAAGAAAATGTTTTCTTTTCCATTTGACAGGCTACCGGTGGATTTGTCATGGTTGTTGCACACACAGGAAATGTTGTATTTGTGTCGGAGAGTATTTCCAGCATACTAGGACATTCCACGGTAGGTTTTTCTCCAAACTCCCATGCCTTTCCTCAATATATTATAAGCCACTGCGGAGGATTCAGCCTAATTTTCTTGTTTACTGCACTGAATTTGAATATACTTTATGTACATTGTACATAAACACTAAGTTGTGTGCGTCATTTGTTTTCCTTGTTCATGTGTACTAATTAATATAAGAACTTGCATTGGTACTCACTGTACTTTAGAGGTCAAGGTCAGATTACCTGTTTTTCTAGCCTGAACTTCCTTATTTACAGAAGATAACTTGATGCAAGTTTATGATCATGTAATGTGTATCAACTCGAAGGTAATTTTTAGCTCACCTGCCCGAAGGGCAAGTGAGCTTATGCCATGGTGTGGCGTCCGTCGTCCGTCCGTCCGTCCGCTGTCGTCCGTCTGTCCGGCGTCAACTTTTTACTTTAAACAACTTCTTCTCAATAACCAAAAAGCCCAGGGTAATGATATTAGGCCTGTATCATGCTGGGATGAAGGGCTACAAAGTTTGTTCAAATAAATGACCTTGACACACTTTGAAGGTCACAGGGGTCAAATATGTTAAAATCTTCAAACAACTTCTTCTCAATAACCGAAAGGCCTAGGGTACTGATATTAGGCCTGTAGCATGCTGGGATGAAGGGCTACCAAGTTTGTTCAAATGAATGACCTTGACCCACTTTCAAGGTCACTGGGGTCAGATGTCTTAAAATCTTCAAACAACTTCGTCTCAATAACTAAAAGGCCCAGGGTACTTATATTGGGCCTGTAGCATGCTGGGATGAAGGGCTACCAAGTTTGTTCAAATGAATGACCTTGACCCACTTTCAAGGTCACTGGGGTCTGATGTCGTAAAATCTTCAAACAACTTCTTCTCAATTACCAATAGGCCCAGGGTACTGATATTGGGCCTGTAACATGCTGGGATGAAGGCCTACCAAGTTTGTTAAAATGAATTACCTTGACCAATATTCAAGGTCACTGGGGTCAAATGTTTTAAAATCTTCAAACAACTTCTCAATAACCAAAAGGCCCAGGGTACTGAAATTTGGCCTGTAGCATACTGGGATGAAGGACTACCAAGTTTGTTCAAACGAATGACCTTGATCCACTTTTTAACCTAATGTCCTTGTTCGACATTCAAGGTCACAGGCGTCATATGTTAAAATCTTTTAATAGGTTCTCATGAATCAAACACTGATATTTTGCCTGTAGCTGTATTTTAGTCCACTTTTAAGATTACAAGTATGAGATGTATACCAGGTGAGCGATGCAGGCTCATTGGGCCTCTTGTTTTCATTTCAAAATGTTTTATTAAATCAAATGATTCAATGGGAATTGGGCAACAGGCTATGCACATACAAGCCCTCTCCCTAACTAAAAGGTTATCTTGTACCAGGATTGCACTTATATATGTAGCGGAACTGGATTGGGTCTATCGTCAGCGACCAGATAGCTCAATTGGTAGAGCATCCATGTACAGTTCTGAAGGTCCGAGGTTCGAACCCCGGTCTGGCCGTGCATTTTTCCTTTCCTGTTACATATATAAGCATCAAATACTAAATCTATTTCTATAAACTTAAGTAGTATTTAGAGAACGTTCCAGAGTTTTAGTGAGAATCAGTCAAGTGTATTAGCTATTACATTCACATATATAATTAGGAAACTTGTTTTACATAATATAATTAGGGCCAAAGGCCAAGTGAGCTTATGGCATGGTGCGGAGTCCGTCGTCCGTCCGTCCGTCGTCAACATTTTACTTTAAACAACTTCTTCTCAGTATAACCAAAAGGCCTAGGGTGATGATATTTGGCCAGAAGCATGCTAGGATGAAGGGCTACCAAGTTTGTTCAAATAAATGACCTTGACCAACTTTCAAGGTCACAGGTGTCAAATGTCTTAAAATCTTCAAACAACTTCTTTTCAATAACCAAAAGGCCCAGGGTACTGATATTTGGCCTGTAGCAATCAGGGCTACCAAATTTGTTCAAATGAATGACCTTGACCAACTTTCAAGCTAATGTCATTGTTTGACATTCAAGGTCACACTGATATTCTGCCTGTAGCTGTTTTTTAGTCCCCTTTTAAGATTACAAGTGTGAGATTATTACCAGGTGAGCGATGCAGGCCCATTAAAACATATAGGGCCGATATGAAAAAACATGTATTTTGTGAAATCCAGGTGAATGTTATTGGTCTGCCTATTGCCAACATTCTCCATGATGAGGACTGCGGGACATTTAGCCAACAGTTTCAGACGGGTGACAAAAATGTGTCCATGTGCGAGGGGATGCCATCTGACCGGGAGAGAGTTCAAAGTAAGTTTATTACCATTAACTTCAAACACAGCCCATATATATAGTCAGTGAATACCAAGACTGCACACTGTGGTTTAACTCATTCATCCCTGAAGACACATTTGAGCTCTTCCAATTCAAAGGTTGGAATATTCCATTATGTACGGAAGTTTCAGGTGTGAATGAGTTAAGGCAGTTGTATGGAAAATTGTGTCTGTTGACTTTTGAAATACTTGTTTGATATTAATGCCAGGGTTTGATCCTTTGTCTGGCACAGAACCTTGAGGTTTTTTAAAATTTATGTATCAGCATTTTATTCCGAAATCTTAGCCTTCTATATGTGATTTATTTCCATGTAGCATACGTGGTCAGTATTTATCATTGATGGACTTTTGATGGGGTGGATTAACTCTTTCACCCCTGAAATTTCATAATGAACTATTCCAACCTTGGAATTGAAAGAGTTCAAATGTATTTTCAGGGGTGAATGAATGTAGGTATTTCATACAGGCTCATGTCAGTACTTGTATTAAGTATGTCATGGGCTCATAACTCTTCCTCAAAATGTAAAAAAAAAAATGGATGTTGGTTGGTATACCCATGTCAAGAACAGTGTCAACAATGACATTTGCAAATATTATTTGTTGAAAATATTGATGATTTTGTCTGAAAAGTAACTTTTGAATGCATAATTTGAGTGGCCTAAAATTGCATTGAATATTGTACAAATGGTGGGGCTGACCCCCCAGGGGCTGAGGGGCGGGGCCAAAGGGGGCAATTTGGCTATATATTGCTTTAAGCGACTTCTTCTCTGGTTTTTTTTTGTTTTGAGGAAAGTTATGAGCCCATTACAAATTATATACACTGACATGACGCTGTATGAAATACGTTGTAAGATGTATTGTTTTATTACTTACTTGATGAATCTTTTTATAGTGATTCTGCTAGTTTTCAGACCATGCAGTTCAAGTTTTCACATCTTTGCACCCCCTCGCAACAAAGGTAGGGGGTATATGGCAGCATGTCCGTCACTCTGTGTATGTTAGAGTGTATTTAATTGTAGGACACAATTTATAACTATTGATGACTTCTTGGGTCATTTTACTTATTTGGTCTACATGTACATATAAAGAAAGTTGTCTGTGTCATGCCTAACATCCATCAACAATATATATATACATGTATATGACCTGTATCATTATAATGGAAAGATATCCTGACACATGTACATGATCATATACAATTCTAGTGCCAACAGTATTTCAAAGCTAATTTTTGGTCGTGTGTCCATCTGTTACAGTTGACTCTTTCAAGAATAATCACAGATCATTCATGGTGCGGATGCAAATTCTACTGGAAAATAGCAATAACCTGCAGCATGAGGCCATCCATGTTCTGGGGAAAATCTCAACAGAAGACCCAAAGACTGGTGGGAAAAATGTCGACTCAAATGGTTTGTGTTATAAACTTCTAGCATTCTTAAGTAAAATATCTGCTCTACTGAACTTATGTTGTCAGATTAAATAAAGCTGACAATGCAAGTTAAAAAGCTTTCAATTGAGATTTTTAGATTTATTTATTTTTTTCTGGTTTTGAGGTCTTCCCCAGTGACAATCTCTTCCCGCTGTCGTATCTAAGGAGGCGGCGACATTTTAGAATGTACTTGCTTGGTAACGAGTATGGGTGTAGATGGGTACAAAAAGCCGCCAAACTGGTTATCAGTAGTTCTTTGTGCGCAATGCAAGGTGACATTACTATACTATATAAGTAGAACCCTTTCAAGATTTTGAACCAACATTTTTTTATCAGATCAGTTGAATAACATTGAAATAGAACACATCAAAGATATCATATATTAAAGAAAAGAGGAAATAATAGTAAAACAAGACCAATTAAAATATCTAATGCACAATCCCTGCGTCCAGGTAAAATATGATTATGCCCTCCTTAATTTGTTCAAATAGGTCCTATTGTATTACATGCGCAAAATATAAGGTAAAGGTTTGACCGAAAGTGAGTTTTTGGGCTACCAAAAGGAGTAGGGTAAATCACAAATATAATTTGCTGTTTTTAATATGAGCTTAAAAACCCAAATAAGTTCCATTTCTGTTTTTCAAAATATGCGTAAACTAACAGGCATATATAAACGAATGAAAAATGACAGAAATTAAATTGTTGCTTTTAAGATGGGTTTAAAAAAACACAGAGGATTTGGTCAGGGAATGCTTTTAGGTAATTTCAAATGAAAAGTGTTTTGTTTTCTCAATAATTTCCTTTCTAATTTATATTTTGAGTTGAAATTTAGAACTTTACTTATTTGAGAACACTTATATATATAAAGTGCATATTCACTACACACTTTCCTTTTGTTTTATAGTGAGTTATGGCTTCTGGACACCTCTCTATCTTAAGTGAATTAAAAGGTGCAGGATGCCCTTTATATGCTTTAAGTATATCATGTAATATGTGTTCAGCACCTGTGGCTGGATTGAGTTTCAGGCACTGATTTCTTTTCTTACAAATAAAAAAAATGGGAATTGCCACCACAACCACAGTAAAATGATTAGTTTAATATATGAAGATTGATTTGCTGGTAATTTTAAGTCTCCTAGCTTCAAATAAAGTAATCTATTTCATTGTTTTATGTGCTGATTGTACATAAAAGGCATAACTTGGCATTGATATTGGTTATATAATGATATATAATTTGTGAAAGTTTCATACTTATCTCAAAACACTTTTTCTTTAGTTTTGGAATAGACAGACTAAAGTGCATCTCAACCAGTGTCACCTTCTCTACCCATACACACTTCCAATCAGAAAAAACCCACCTTGAGCATGGAGTATCCAATCAGAGGTCACATATCACATTAGATACCTCCAATATCAGAATACAACTGCTACAGTGCATGATGATCGTTAAATTGCTCATGTAGATGAAGTGTAGTATTTGTACACGTTCACTTCACAACAAAAACTAAGCTAAAAGGCCAATCAGGTGTTAGAGGAGCTTTGATTACACATCAGCGCACAGTTAGGCACTACCGTGTTTGAAACAGCAACTGCAATGCTAGGAAACCATACAGTTTTTATATTGAATAAAATCTTTCTACACAGATGTGCAGTTTTTATTACATTAGATATAATACTACAACAATATTCTATCTCTCTGTCATTTTAAAGAGAGACATTTGAGCGCGCTCTGAACAATTGCATATAAATTATGTTTTAAAATGGGAAAGAAAAGCATTAAAATATGCTTTACTTTGGCTAATTCCAAGTTAAGTAAGATGGTAGGTAACTTTTTATTGTTCAATTTTATATCAGGTAGACCAATTACAGTTAATCCCTCCCGACTGCCGCTACTAATCCCTGTAATTATCTCTACCAGTATTGATAACGCAATGCAAATCTTGGTGATGTTGAAGTGAAAAGGGGTGGGGTGGGGGCACAAATTCCATTTACACATAGACTATGCAGTCTATAAAGCGTTTTTCTTAAAAATAATGCATTTTAGGAGATAGTCGGTGCACTGTTGATCTGATTAGTTACAATCTATCCACCATGTCTTGGAAACAGTTGAGATCTCAACAGTTTAACCCTACAATGCTGATTAATGAAAAGAGAGGCATACAGACACATTGGGACCTTGGAATCATTTGGTTAAAAAGTGTAGATCTAGCTCCCCTTGGGGCTGAGGTGATATGCCAAAAAGGGGAGGCTGGGTGATAAATATTAGAAAGCCTACTCTTCTAGACCACTCGGAGGCATTACTGGGATGAGGAATGTTGTATAAGGACGGTATGAACTGTCGTAAAAATTTACTGTGTTTAATGTATGTAATAATATTTGTACAAAATGTACATGGGACTGTAGCATGATGTTTTCCTGTCTTATACAATGTAAGTGCATAGCTACCGCAGGGGTCTGTATGCACGATACTTGCATCCCCTGACGTACATAGCTATGAGCTACCACAGATGACTTTAGTATGATATATAGCTACCACAATGCATATACATTGTAGTATGATCGTTGCCTCCCCTTTAGTACATAGCTACCACAAGGGACTATAGCACAATCTTTAAATTTGCCTCCCCTGTAGTATACAGCTGCCACAGGGGACTGTAGCTCGATCATTGTCTCCTCTAGATTATATAAATAACTACCACAGGGGCCTGTAGCTCGATCATTGTCTCCGCTAGATTATATAAATAACTGCCACAGGGGACTGTAGCTCGATCATTGCCTCCCCTAGAGTATATATATAACTACCACAGGTGACTGTAGCTCGATCATTGCCTCCCCTAGAGTATATGTATAACTGCCACAGGGGACCGTAGCTCGATCATTGTCTCCTCTACATTATATAAATAACTACCACAGGGGACTGTGGCTCGATCATTGTCTCCTCTAGATTATATTTATAACTACCACAGGGGACTATAGCTCGATCATTGCCTCCCCTAGAGTATATATATAACTACCACAGGGGACTATAGCTCGATCATTGCCTCCCCTAGAGTATATATATAACTACCACAGGGGACTATAGCTCGATCATTGCCTCCCCTAGAGTATATATATAACTACCACAGGTGACTGTAGCTCGATCATTGTCTCCGCTAGAGTATATAAATAACTACCACAGGGGACTATAGCTCGATCATTGCCTCCCCTAGAGTATATATATAACTACCACAGGGGACTATAGCTCGATCATTGCCTCCCCTAGAGTATATATATAACTACCACAGGGGACTGTAGCTCGATCATTGTCTCCCCTAGAGTATATAAATAACTACCACAGGGGACTGTAGCACCAACATATTGCCTCCCCTAGATTATATATATAACTACCCAGGGGACTGTAGCTCGATCATTGCCTCCCCTAGAGTATATGTATAACTGCCACAGGGGACTGTAGCTCTATCATTGCCTCCCCTAGATTATATAAATAACTACCACAGGGGACTGTAGCTCGATCATTGTCTCCTCTAGATTATATATATAACTACCCAGGGGACTGTAGCTCGATCATTGCCTCCCCTAGAGTATATAAATAACTACCACAGGGGACTGTAGCACGATCATTGCCTACCCTAGAGTATTTTTAGGTCACCTGAGCTTTGCTCAAGTGACCTATTCTAATCGCTTTCTGTCCGTAGTCGTCCGTTGTGCGTAAACTTTTTACATTTTCAACTTCTTCTCAAGAACCAGTGGATGGATTTTTTTCAACTTTGTCAGAATCATTCTTTGGTAGATGAGGCTACAAAATTGTGAAATTGGGATTCCTACCCCAACCCCTGGGGCCAGGGCGGGGCCCAAAAGGGAAAATTAACCAATATTTCAAAAATCTTCTTCTTCAGACTCAGAGGTATTACAGTCATTTTCTTTGCATGGAAAGAAATATCATCAGGGGCTTTACTTAAATTGTAAATTTCAGGACCCCCGAGCTATCCGTTCTCCCTTGGGGAGGGGGTAAAGTTTACTATAGTTTATATAGGGAAACAACATTTTTGGGTATATTTTGACAATTTTCTGTTGGAAATTATTTTTACTTGGTCAGAATCATCCTTGGAGGAGGAAGATGGTTTTAAATTGTAAAATTGGGATTCCTACCCCAACCCTAGGGGCCAGGGCGGGGCCCAAAAGGGAAAATTAACCAATATTTCAAAAATCTTCTTCTCCAGACTCAGAGGTATTACAGTCATTTTCTCTGCATGGATGGAAAGATCATCAGGGGCTTTATTTAAATTGTAAATTTCAGGACCCCCGAGCTATCCGTTCTCCCTTGGGGAGGGGGTAAAGTTTACTATAGTTTATATAGGGAAATAACACTTTTGGGTATATTTTGACAATTTTCTGTTGGAAATTATTTTTACTTGGTGAGAATTATCCTTGGAGGTAGATGGTTTCAAATTGTAAAATTGAGATTCCTACCCCGACCCCTGGGGCCAGGGCGGGGCCCCAAAGGGAAAATTAATCAATATTTCAAAAATCTTCTTCTCCAGACTCAGAGGTACTACAGTGATTTTCTCTACGTGGAAAGAAAGATCATCAGGGGCTTTACTTAAATTGTAAATTTCAGGACCCCCGAGCTATCCGTTCTCCCTTGGGGAGGGGGTAAAGTTTACTATAGTTTATATAGGGAAACAACACTTTTGGGTATATTTTGACAATTTTCTGTTGGAAATTATTTTTACTTGGTCAGAATCATCTTTGGTGGATGACGGTATCACATTGTAAACTTGGAATTCCTGCCCCATCCCCAGGGGTTAGAGTGGGGCCCCAAAGGGAACATTTACAAATATTTTAAAATTCTTATCCTTTGATGACATGACAAGTATTGTATTTCACTTAGTTTACATGCTGATTTCCACATCTCATCTAAACAATAAAATAAAGCTACCAGTACCTATGATATAACTCAGGTGACCGCTAAGGCCCTTGGGCCTCTTGTATTACAATACCGGTAGATCTTCATCTACTTATATTACAATACCGGTAGATCTTCATCTACTGATATTACAATACCGGTAGATCTTCATCTACTGATATTACAATACTGGTAGATCTTCATCTACTTATTAGGTCACCTGAGCTTTAGCTCAAGTGACCTATTGCTATCCGTTTTCGTCCGTCGTCGTCCGTCGTCCGTCGTCCGTTAACATTTTACATTTCAAACTTAAAGTCAAGTTCTGCTGGGCCGATTGAACTGAAAGTTGGTAGGAATGATCGCCTCATGGTCCTGACAAAGTGTTGTTATTTTTCGGGTCGATCAGAAATCCAATATGGCCGCCACGGCCGCCATTTTGAAAACCTATTTCAAACTTAAAGTCAAGTTCTGCTGGACCGATTGAACTGAAAGTTGGTAGGAATGATCGCCTCATGGTCCTGACAAAGTGTTGTTATTTTTCGGGTCGATCAGAAATCCAATATGGCCGCCACGGCCGCCATTTTGAAAACCTATTTCAAACTTAAAGTCAAGTTCTGCTGGACCGATTGAACTGAAAGTTGGTAGGAATGATCGCCTCATGGTCCTGACAAAGTGTTGTTATTTTTCGGGTCGATCAGAAATCCAATATGGCCGCCAC